GCAGGTGAGCGGGGGGCGCGGACGGGGCGCACCGGGCCGCCCCTCGGGGCCGGGCAGCACCGCCGCGGGCGCCGCCGCTTGCGGCCCTCGAGGCTGCGCGCCGCGGCGGGGGCTCCGGGCGGGTCCCCCCGCGCCCGCGCCCGCGTCCGGCGGCCCGACCCCGGCCCGCGCCTCCACGCGCTCCCGCTCTGCCTTATTTTTAGGCGGCGCGGCCCATGGGCTATTTCGAGCTGCAGCTGAGCGCGCTGCGGAACGCGAACGGGGAGCTGCTGAGCGGCGCCTGCTGTGACGGCGACGGCCGGACGGCGCGCGCGGGGGGCTGCGGCCACGACGAGTGCGACACGTACGTGCGCGTGTGCCTCAAGGAGTACCAGGCCAAGGTGACGCCCACGGGGCCCTGCAGCTACGGCCACGGCGCCACGCCCGTGCTGGGCGGCAACTCCTTCTACCTGCCGCCGGCGGGCGCCGCGGGGGACCGGGCGCGGGCGCGGGCCCGGGCCGGAGGCGACCAGGACCCCGGCCTCGTCGTCATCCCCTTCCAGTTCGCCTGGCCGGTACGTGTCCCCTCCTCCCCTCCCCCGGCGCCCGCCGCCCCTCCGGCACCTGCGGCGGGGCCCTGTGTGCCGACTGCGCGCACCCGGGCGGGGCGGGGCCGGCAGGGGGCGCCGCGCGGCGGGGCCGGCCTGGGGCGCGTGCTCCGCGGGGCCCGGTCCGCGCCCGGCCACGTGGGCGCGCGGGGGTCGCGGCAGGGGCGGGGCGGGGGGTGGTGGCCGCGGCCCGCGTGCGCGGCGGCCTGCGGCGTGTGCCTGTGTCTCCTTGCGCGTGTCTGTCTTGGGGCGGAGGGGGGGAAGGCGAGGCGAGGCGAGGCGCGGCGCCCCGGGCCCGGGCAGGCCGCGGAGGCATGTGCGCCGCGCGTGCTGGGGCTGGTCTGGGGCAGGCCCTGGCGGAGCCGCCCCGGGCCCGTGGCCAGCCTTCGCCCGCCCTGCAGTTTCCTGGATGCCCGAGGATGGAGGTGGGGGGCAGCTCGGGTTGGCGCCCGGGGACGTGGGCCCCCGAGGACCCAACGTGGAAGCGTTGGCGCAGCCCTTGCTGCTGGCCCGGGACCCTCCTCCTCCCCCGCCGCACCCCGGGGAGGAGGCGGCCCTGGTGTGATCTGTGGCATCATCCCTCCGTGCGCTTTTGGTTTTGTTTGTCCTGTTTTTGAGGAGGGGCTAGGGCTAGACAGGCAGGAACCATGGGCTTGGGACTGCTGGGAGGGATGGGGCTCAGCCCTGTGGACTGCCCTGGGGCAGGCAGGGGATGTGCCCAAGCAGCTGGGTGCGCCTGCCCAGCAACCCCCTCCCCACCCATGCCTGAGCTGGGCAGCTTTCTGAAGCAGAGCCTGCCCCCCCCCCCCACATACAAGGTCCCAGTGGCAGTCCTGGGTGGGGCAGAAATGACAGACGACCTGGAGAGGTACCCACCCCCATGCAGGAACTGGCCAGGGACAGTTCGGGTGGGTTTGGGAGAGGATCTGTGAGCAGGGAGGGGCTAGACTAGGGTGCTGGGGGGATTGGCCACCCAGCCTTCTAACCGAGGACTTCTGGCTGGAGCGGCTGGTGAAGGGCACCAGAAATGTGTCCACCTGGTACTCTAGGCCCAGGAGAGGCTGGGAGTTGAGCTGGCCAAGCTGGCCAAGGTTGGGCCAGGAGGACCCACCCTGTGGAGGGCTGGGCTCCCTGCCCCGACCTGGGCTCTGGGTCTTGTGCTGATGCTTTCTCCTAAGCTCAGACCAGGTGGCCTTGCACGCTACCCCATCCTCGCTCCTTTCGGAGCTCCGAGCTCTAGGAGGATGGCCAGGGTCCCCTCGAGACAGGGCACCGCCCCTGCCTGCCTGACTGGCGTCTGGGGTCTCCCTTGACCTCCGGGCCTTGGGTGGGAAAGGCGTCCCTGATGGAAGAGGCAGAGGCAGGCCTGGGAGGGCCCCAGGCAGTTACGATAAGCTCAGCCCCCTCGTCCTCACAGCGGGGCAGGCAGGTCTGAGCAGAGCCCGCAGCCTGTCATCTGCACTTGGGCCCGAGCCAGGGTGCTCCAGAACGCTACCTGAGGATGAGTTTTCTGCTCGAGCTGGCACCGGCCGGGGTGGGGGCAGGGAGGCCTGGGAGGAATGCGGCAGGGCCAACGCATGCCCCTCACGGCTCTTGGCCCCATGAGCTGGCTGGTTTGGAACGGGACAGGGCAGGCCCTCACCTTCCTGGGAGCCCTGGAGTCTGGGCAGCCGCCCTTGGGACCTCTTCTTGTCCTGCTGTGAGCTGCTTCCCCAGGAGGGGCTCGGGCTCCGGCGGCCAGGGCGGCGGGGCAGTGGCCTGTTTGGGGGCAGCTCCTGTCTCTCTGCTGCCCACCGGCAGCGCATCCTGGCTGCTGGGTGCCTGGCTGGCCTGTGATGCCAGCGCCCTGGTATTTCCGCTCCCCGCGGCCACGCGGCCTTGGTTTGCTGCAAGTCCAGTTCCGTCCCGTGAGCTGGGGCGCGTTGGAAACTGTGTTTGGGCTTCCTTGGGGAGGGTGGGGGAGGGAATGGGGGTGGGTGGGCTGCAGCCAGGGAGCAGCTTGCACTCTGGGGTTTCTGGGAGTAGGTGGTGTGAGGAGGGCCTCGAAAGTGGCCGGAGGGGGAAGGGGGGCCGCTGCGGGCGGGTGTGGGAAGTGGCTCCTCTTGCGCCCTGCCTGTGCCCCTGGAGGCAGGAGGCCAGGGAGCTCGTCTGGGCTCTGCTCTCCTGCACGCCCCTCGAGTTGCCGTTGGCCAGTCCCGAACCTTCCCGCGCTGTGAGCGGGTCCCACGGGCTGTGCTGTCTGTGGTGTGCCATTCCAGGCTGGGGTCAGGCTCTGTATCAGGAGCGGGCCCCGGGTTTGGGGTGCGGGGAGGTCAGGGCAGAGCCGCTGGTCATCTCCTGACCTGCCTCACAGATGCCCCGTGCCTCCTCCTGGCCCCCCAGGAATTCAGTGACCCCCTTCAGTGGCCCAGGCACCTAGCTGATAGTTGACGGGACAGAGACCACGCCTGGTCATGTGCGTGCACGTGCGTGTGTTCATGTGTGTGCGTGCGTGTGCATGCCTCTGTGCGTGTGTCTGCGTGCGTGCTTTCTCTGGGTGCGGTAGGTCGCCAGTGGAGGGTCTGGAGGGGCTTTGTGGGTGCGGAGCTCGGAGGGGCTGGCTGACGAAGGGGACTCGTAGCAGCCAGGGCCCTGTCCTGAGGGAGGGGCCGGCGGGAGGCGCACCCTTTCCTCTTGGGCCAGACCGTGGTACCCGGGACCCCACCCCTAGGTGTCCATTGTCGTGTGCACTGTGGGTCCTAGGGGAGGGCTGTGCGTGTGTGGACAGACCCTGACAGGGCCGCCAGCTGAGATCTCGGGCCACACAGCAGGTTCTGGGGCCCCGCTTTCCCATCTGTGAAATGGGGCCATGTGGGGATCTCATGAAGGGAACGGCGCCACAGGGTGCAGGCTCGGGCTTGGGGGAGCCTGCAGGCTGACTCCCTGGCCTGCGGCATCTCCTCTCCCCCCAGTGCCCCGTGGAAGGCCAGGGTCCCTGAGGGGCTGCAGCGTGCTCCGGGCTGTGTGTGGGGTCGTGGGCCAGTTAGGGAGGATCTGGTGGGTACTGAGCACAGGGCCTGACTCTGTTGTGGCTGGAGGCCATGGGAGCTTGTCAGCTGCGAGTGTCCCCCCAAGATGGGCTGGGCTGGGGTCTGTGGCCGGAGGCGCCTGAGCTGCCCTTGGTGGTGTGAGACACCGTCCTGCCTGTGCTCCCCGCCCCTCCTGAGGAGCACAGGGCTGGGGTGGGCCCTGGCCCCCACCCCAGACCACCCCAGAGCATGCTGGGGCCCCCCACGTGTGACCTTCCCACACCCTGGGAGGGGCTGGGAGTGCTGGCTGGCCACACCCCGCTCTGCACCTTGTCACCTGCTTGGTGTCAGGAGTCTTGTTTGTGGCTGTGGTGTAGGGACAGCAGGGCAGAGCTGGAAGGGCGGCCCCAGCCAGGGGAGCGCTTGCCTGCAGACTGGAGGCTTTGTCCTTAGGCTTTGAGGGGGTGGTCTGGGTGGCAGGCTGCAGCGGGACAGCACTGCTGGAGGGTCCGCGGCAGGGGCGCCACAGGACGGACTGCGGTTTTTCGGGTCTCCTTCAGCTGTTCTGGGGTCACCCAGATGGGGTTGCTGGGGGGCTGTCTGGCCCAATGAAGGGGTTCTCAGGGGAGCCAGGCTGGGTGACAAGCATCTCTAATCTCCAGGTTGAGCTGGGGTCCCCATCCCCAGACCCCCGGGGAGCAGACCCTGGGTAAGGAAGGTTTGTGTAGTACCAGCAGATTGTGGGCTTTGCTCGAGGGGTCCTACAAGGCCCATGTGACAAGGTGTGGGGAGACAAGACGTGGGGAGACCCTGGGCTGAGGTGAACCACCCGGCAAGGCCCTGGCTGCTCTCTGGTGTACAGTGTGGGTGTCTGGGTTCCTGTGTGGGGTGGACTTGTGATCCCTTCCTCCTGCTGAGCCTTGGGGAGAGGTGGCCCCCTCCCCTCTCCCTGGGGACAATGGCGGCAGAGGCCCGGGCTTCTCCAAGGCTCAGGTTTCAGGAAATGTATCTGTGCTTAGAGCTCCTGGCGCCGGCACCGCACTCTGCCCCGTGGGGGGCTGGGCTGCGGACGCGGGGTGCCATGGGAGGAAACCAGGTTGGAGCCCGGGGACTCGGTGGTGGCCCCGGGGGCTGTGCTGGGCCTCCTTGGCCATGGTGCGCCCTGGGCCCTGGGGCGTGCAGTGTAGGTCCCACCCAGGTCTGCCCAGGACCATTCGTGTGTCTTTGGGCTGCTGTGCTGTGTTCCTGTGTAGGATCAGATGAAGCGTGTGGACCTGGCCTGGGGGGTCTGGGCTGGGGAGAAGGTGGTCAGGTGGTCGGGCTGGGGGGGTCCGCCCTCCAGGTGCAGGTGGGACCAGACAGTCTTTCCAGAAGAGGCGTGGCTGGGCGTCCAGGGACTCAGGCCAGTTCGCCAGGGGGGCTGCTCAGCATCAGGCAGGCAGGCGGCCCAGCGGAGGCGGGGGACTGGGGCTGCTCCGCGCTTGCTGGGGAGGTCCTCAGCCATCCCCGCCGGGCTCTCATTGCCCTGGCCCAGCCCTGGAGCCTCAGGGCACCCAGGAGGCCTCCAGTCCAGGCCTGTTGCCTCTCCAGCCCTCTGGGAAGTTGGGGTTGACAAAAGCCTGTCCTGGCCAGTGGCTCGCAAGTCGGGAAGCACGGGGACGAGAGGTCGCTGTTCGGTTGGGGAAACTGAGTCTTGGGGCCTGGCCTGTAGGAGGGGAGGAGGCCCAGCGCGGGGGGAGGGACACCTGCCGGCTCAGGTTCTCTCTGGATGACTCTCTGTGGTGCGAGTGTGGGGAGCCCAGCTGGCGGGCGCTGGGGCCCTTTTGGGTGGGCAGGTGGGGGCATAGGTAACTGGAGCCCGGGGCGCGGATAGAGGCGGTGGTAACCCTACCTGAGCCGCTGGCGAGGCGCTCCCTGCTTGCCCGGCTAGAGCCCAGGTGCTTGTCTTGCTGGCGTCCTCCATGCCCGCCCTCGCGGCCCACTCTGCACAGGGGCCGGTCTCAGGTCTCCCGGACCCACCAGCAGCCCTGCTCAGCTCTGCCTTGGCGACCACGCGCCGTCCGACCCCGCTCCCTCTGTCCGCGTGCCACGCTCCTCCGGCCCCGCGGGCCTGCCGTGCTGTTCGGAGTGCTTTCCCCATCTCGAGCTCTCCCTCTCCAAGGCCTGGCCCCACCCCTGTTTAGAGCAACCCCGCCCCCCCAGGTCCCTGCTGACCCATCTGCTAGTGGCAGAGCCACGCCTGGTGCTTGCTCCACGAGTGAATGGACAGAGTGGGGCCTGGGAAGGAGCTGGGCGGGCCCTCCAGCTGTCACCAGGACTAGGAATGGCCAGGGGAAGGCTGGCCCGAGAGTAGCATTCTTGGCAGAGGGAGGGAGCTGTGTTTGCAAAGGCCCTGGGGCAGGGTGGGCAGGCTGAGATGCGGCACAGCAGGGGCTGGGGGACTGCAAGGAGGGTGAGAGCCATGGGGAGCCCCGAGGGGGTTCTGAACCTTGGGGAAAACACAGAGCCCTGGGGGTTGTTGGGGCTCCCGTGGGCAGGGGTGTGGAGGCCCCACTGGCTGTAGGGAGCTGGCCAGGCAGTGGCCACGGGGAGTGCATTTATGGGCGACTCGAGAAGTGGGACTGAGAGCCTGGAGATAGCCCGACATGGCAGGGAGTGTTCTAGAAGGGTTCCTGTCTGTGTTCCGGGGTGGGCATGAGGTCCTGTGAATCTTCCTGGGGCGTCTGGGGGGCTGTTCTCAGGGAAGGGTCAGGAGGGTGCATAAGGCATACAGCCCTGTGGGTGGGCCAGTGTGTCCTGGTGCTGTCTCGCTGCAGCGACAGTCACAGGCCTGCAGAGGGGTCAAGGAGAGGGTCCCTAAAGTAGGGCCATGCTTGGGCATCTGGAGGTGGTGGGAGTGGTTGGTGTGGCCGGCCGTGGGAGTGGGGCCGGGGTCCAGGGAGGCCGTGGGAGCGGGGCCAGGATCCAGGGAGGCCGTGGGAGCGGGGCCGGGGTCCAGGGAGGCCGTGGGAGCGGGGCCGGGGTCCAGGGAGGCCGTGGGAGCGGGGCCGGGGTCCAGGGAGGCCGTGGCCTATCTGCCGCAGCTGTGTACCAAGGGCAGGACCCAAAGGCTGGGGTCCGCGTGTCAGGGCAGTGGCCCTCGGTGCTTGGCTGTGTAGTGTGTTCTCCCTGGCATGGCCATACTGCAGGCCCAGGAGACGGGGGCGCTGAGGGTGGGGATGAGGCTGGACTCGGCAGTGCGGTCCCCCCTTTTGGGGGGAGGCCAGCCAGCCTGGGATCACAGAGGTGGCCCTGTGCTGTGGGCCCCCAAACCGGGGCATCAGGGCCAGAGGGAGGGGTGGCCAGCATGTTCACGGCTGGGCTGGAAGTGTGGAGCGGCTCGTGTCAGGGAGCCCCGGAGGGTCCTGGCCAAGCGAGCTGGGCCTCCCCTCCTGCTGGAGCTTGTGGCCCGGGGTGACACGGGTGGGGCTGCTTGCTGGCTCTGGTTACTCTGTGGGGAGGGTGGGTTCTGAGGTTGCTGGGTGACATGAGCCCGCCACATCCTCCTGGGAGGAGGGAGTGTGGGGGGCAGCCATGGGCAGTCCCTGGACCTCGGTTTCCCCATCTATGCAGCCAGGGCCCCTCCCTGCTCCTTCTGTCCTTAGGAGGAGGCGGGCCTGTGGCCTGTGTGTGTTGCACTGGGCACCTGCTCTAGTCTGGGGGCTCTGCGGAGACTGTGCCCTCTGCCCTCCATCCCCAGGGCCTGGTGGGGGGAAGCTGGGGTGGTGACAGGCCGTTGTTCCTCTTGGGCCTCTGCTAGCAGCAAGACCTCATGTGTGACAGGCCCCAGCGAGTGGCCTGGGGGCGCTACCCCCAGACCCTAGGGGGGGTACCCAGGGGACCCTGGTCTGGGGCCGCTCACTTGGGCTGTGCCAGGCCTCAGCCCACCGCTCTGCCCGGGTCCCTCTCCCTTTTCTCCGTGCCAGTCAAGCCGGTCCAGCCGGCTGGGTGTGGGCTGCTGGGATGGCAGGAGCTCAAGTCCCCAGAGCCTCCCTCCTCTGGGTCATTTTGGGGTCTCTTGGGATATGGCATGAGGCTGCTGCTCCAGGCAGAGGGGTGAGGTGGCAGGGGGTACAGAGGACAGACCCTCACTGAGCCAGGGGTAGGCTTGGGGGCACGGGGGGGGCGCAGTGGCCAAGGCTGGGGTGAGGTAAGGTGGAGGCAGGGGTGTGGCTGGCTCCTCACTGATGTTCTGTGTGTGCAGCGCTCCTTTACCCTCATTGTGGAGGCCTGGGACTGGGACAACGACACCACCCCAGATGGTGAGTTCGCTGGGAGCTGGGTGGCTGGGTGGGCTGCTGCCTATGGGGCCCCCCTCAGGGCACAGGGAGGCTGACCCCCGTTAGCCAGAGAGATGCCTGTGGCCAGATTCCTTGTCCTTTGCCTGCTGGGGACAAGGGCCCCGGTCCCAGGAAGGCTGCCCCACCCCCAAGGTTCTAGTGCGCTGTGTCTCTCTTTGCCCTGGCTGCTGGGGAGCTCTGCCGTGTGCGACCTGCAGAGCCGTGCACGTGTCCTCCCCTGTCTTGGTTTCATTCATGCTGTTCCCCTGATGAGCACGCTCTCCCGAGGCCGCGTCAGGCACCTGGTGGCCTGAGTGCCCCGAGAGGCTCGCTCTGCCTCCGTGGCCCCTTCTCTGCCTGCCTCTCCTGGATGGGGCTTGAGGGCCCCTCCCGAGGCTCATGTGATAGCTGGCCAGCCCGCGCACGGAGTCTTTGGGCCCTGTGGTGACAGGGCAGGGGCTGTGCCCGTGGACAAAGCAGGAGGGGCAGGGCAGCGAGCCGTGTGTGCGAGCAGCATGGGCTCATGTGGTGTGGGAGTGGTGAGGTTAGTGAGGCCAGGTCAGGTGGTGGAGGCTGTGTGGGCCACCGCGAGGACGCTGGCTTTTCCCTGGACGCTGGAGGGCTCGGGCTGCTGCACGCAGGATGCACTGGAGGCCTGGGATGGAGGCTGGTGTGGACACGGCTGTGAATCCCGCAGGTGGCGGGGTGCTGGGCCCACGGGCAGCCTCGGGTGGAATGGGTCTCTGGCCACGGCGGAGTCCACGTGGAGACACAGGGCTTGCTGCGGGGCTAGACCTTGGTTGGGTTGGGGGCTGGCAGCACGGAGGGGCCCCCGGGGGGATGGCTGCTCTGTGGTCGAGGGCAGTGTCACCAGGGTGCCGAGGCAGGCTGAGCCCCGGGCCCCGCCGATGAGGATGCTGGGGCCTGGAGGGGCCGAGCTGGGGGCAGTGCTCAGAGGGCACCAGGCGGGTCCAGGGACAGGCTAGCAGGCACTTTGGCCAGACGGGCTCTGGGGGAGGGGTGAGGGTGTGAGGCCGTGTCTGGAGAGGCTGGAGTGGGCAACGTCGCCAGCTTAGAGCTGCGGAGGCCGATGCACCCGGCACCCCCGGGCCGTGGAGCGGGGAGCAGCGCAGACGGGTACGGGGCTGTGGGGCAGGGTTTCACGAGCCGCTGTGCCCAGGGTGGTCAACCTGCCCGCTCGGCCCCTCGGGCCCAGTGGGTTCCTCTGCCGCGAGGCCGGGCTGCTCGAGCTCCTGGCCCAGGCGCGTCTCAGGGCGAGAGAAGGCTCTTCCCGGGACAGGGCCGTGCTCGCTGCTGGGGGCGGCCCTGCGGACAGAGGGAGAGGGAGGGCAGCCTTGCAGAGCTGCGGCCCTGGCCCCCCGCCCCCTGGCGGCCCGGCCAGTGTCCCTGCTGCCCCCCAGCTCCCCGGGCAGGCAGCCTCGGCCCGGCTGACTGTGCCGCCCCCCCAAGAGGAGCTGCTGATCGAGCGGGTGTCGCACGCGGGCATGATCAACCCCGAGGACCGCTGGAAGAGCCTGCACTTCCGCGGCCACGTGGCCCACCTGGAGCTGCGCATCCGCGTGCGCTGCGACGAGAACTACTACAGCACCACGTGCAACAAGTTCTGCAGGCCGCGCAACGACTTCTTTGGCCACTACACCTGCGACCAGTACGGCAATAAGGCCTGCATGGACGGCTGGATGGGCAAGGAGTGCAGAGAGGGTGAGCGGCCGGGCCAGGCGCAAGGGGAGGTGAGGGGGGCGCGAGGGGGGCCCGCACACCCTCCCCCGGGGCTCTGCGGCCTCACGCGCTCCTCCCTGTTCCAGCCGTGTGCAAGCAAGGATGCAACCTGCTCCACGGGGGCTGTGCCGTGCCTGGCGAGTGCAGGTGAGTGGGCGTCCTGCCCTCGGGGGTCCCCCAGCCGGAGGCTCGGCTGGACCCTGCCGGCTCCCGGGCCCTCCTGCCCTCGGGGGTCCTCCAGCTGGCTCCCCTGCACACCCCCCCACGCACCCTGGGCCCCATGGCTGAGTGGGACAGCAGGGACCCAGGCCTTGCTCTCGTGTCACTTGTCAGCACAGTGACGCCGACAACCGTCATCGTGCCTGGGCGGTGGCTATGCAGGGCGCTTCTGCGGGATGGCGGGACAACGGGCCGGGGAGGTGGCCAGGGCGATCCCACCTAACTCTGGGGCCAGGAGCTGGCCAATGACCGGTGCCCAGAGCACAGGAGGCACCGAGGGCATGGGTGGACACAGAGAGAGGCTGAGTGTGGGAGTGGGACATGGGGAAGAAGAGGGGTGCTGGAGGGGCTGGGGTGGGGTGAGATGGACCAGGGCAGCTGCTGTGTGGGAAGAGCCAAGTGGGGAGGCTGCTGCAGGGCTGGGAGGTGGTGGGCGAGGACCAGCAGGAGACAGGGAGGTGGGTGGGCCCCACAGGCATCCTGGAGTGGATTTTTTTAAAGACTTTATTTATTCATTTGACACAGGAGAGAGATCACAAGCAGGCAGAGAGGCAGGCAGAGAGAGGGGGGAAGCAGGCTCCCCGCCTAGGAGAGAGCCCGATGCGGGGCTCGATCCCAGGACCCTGAGATCATGACCCGAGCCGAAGGCAGAGGCTTAACCCACGGAGCCCCCCAGGTGCTCCCTGGAGTGGGCTTGAAGAAGGGCTGGGAAGGAGAGCGGGGGGCAGGAAGGACCCCAAGTCTGCTGCGGAACTGTTGAACGGCAGAGCTACCACGACTGAGGCCAGACTGCCTTGGGCAGAGGAAGGGAGGTGGTGTGCGGGAGGGGGTCATCGGCATCTCTCTGGTCCCGGGAGACACTGCCAGAAAAGAGGAGTGATGTGACCCAAAACACGTGGGCCGGGCCGGGGTCGTACGGTCACCGGGAGATGACATGGGACGGGCTGGGGGTCGTGGGGGTCACCGGGAGATGACAGA